TAATTACTGGGAGACTTGTGTGGTTTGTTGAATGTAACCAGAGCCTGAGTGAGGCACAATTCGGCTTCCGCCCGCAGCGTTCTGCGGAAGACGCAATTGAGACGGTGGTCAACCATGTTCTACATTTGCTCGAGACCCATAAATATGTTTTGGGGGTCAGTTTGGATATTTCCAAAGCTTTTGATAGAGCATGGTGGCCCTTCATTTTATATCGTCTTCGTCAAATCAATTGCCCTTGTAATATTCTGAAAATCCTACAGGATTACTTGAAAGATCGTAGTGCCATTTTAAGATATGGTCAACATCAGGTTTGTAAAAACATTACTATTGGGTGTCCACAGGGGTCCGTAATTGGACCCCTTTTATGGAATATTACCTTTGATGCATTTCTTCTCGAAGACTTTGGACACACAAAAATCTGTGCCTATGCTGATGATGTATTCCTGCTGTTAGGTGGCAAGTCGAGGGCTGATATTGAATGTAATGCTAAAACTATGCTCCAACATGTTTTTAACTGGGGTATTAAACATAAATTCCTTTTCAATCCTTCAAAGACTATAGAGCTATAGTCTTTAATAAACCTAGACACCCCAATTTGTATCTTCGCCCCCCACATAGCAAAATGCAGGGTAATACCATCAAAGTGGAACGTTCACTAAAATATCTGGGGGTTATTTTAGATTTTCGATTATCAGGGGACAATCATATTGAATATATTACAAACCGGACCGGGTTTATTTTTCACTCATTTTCCCAAGTAGCAAAGAAAGAATGGGGCCTCTCCTCTGCCGCCATGTCTACCAATTATGATGGAATCTATATTCCAATTATTACTTATGCGTGTGGCTCTTGGGGGTGGGCCACACGTAAGGTGCACGCTAAAAGAAAGCTTTTGTCTTCTCAGAGACGCGCACTTCTTCTTATCACCAAGGCATACAGGACTGTGAGTAATTGCTGTTTACAGGTATTAGCTAAAAAGCCACCTATAGATCTTGCTATATTGCAAAAACTACAGTTCCAACATCTTAAATGGGGACAGACAATTCAGATCTCGAATTGTACACTTAGTTATAATGACATTGAGTGGCCAATACCGTATACAGAAACTTTTTCACCAGACAGAACTTCTGGTTGTAGTTTTACTAGTTTATACAGTGCTGATGTTGACGTATATACTGATGGCTCACACATTAACGATAAGGTTGGGTGTAGTTTTGTTATATATCTTAATAATTCTGAAGTTGTACATCAAATGTATCGGCTTGACTGTAAATGTACTGTTTTTCAAGCTGAATTATTTGCTATTGGGATGGCTATCGACTATATCAATCATAATTATAATACTCTTCATGTTCATATCCATACAGACTCTATGTCTGTTTATAATCTCCTTCAGAATAACAATCTGCACCCACTAGCTCAACATATTAACAGGGCTATTTTGGCTTCCCACTGTGTGTTCACTATCACATGGATTAGGGCTCATCAGGGAGTGCTGGGGAATGAGAGAGCTGACTCCCTGGCTAAAGAAGCTGCTATGAATGACTCACTCTCAATATCTTATAACAAAATTAGCAAACGTTCGTTACGTCATCTTCTATGGTTAGACACAATACAACTCTGGCAGAATATGTGGAACCAGAACAGACAACATATTACCTTCAGTTTCATTCCGGATCTTCTGCAGTTTCTCAAGATTAATTGGTACACTCCTGATTACTACACTTCACAAATTTTTACCAATCACGGTAAATATGCAAGTTATCTTGCTCGATTTACTAATAGGAATTCTAGACTTTGTCAAGCCTGTGGTGTGGAAGATGGTGCAATACATTATCTTTTTGACTGTATGATTTTTGATAGACTCACGCCTTGAGATTCAATTACTATTACAGGAACTGGGAATTATGTGGCCTTGCAACCCTTCTGATATTTGGCGTACAAAGGAAATATATTATGCTTTTAAGAGACTTGCTAGGCATATCAATACTGTAACTCACAACTCTATCTACAATTAATCGTCTTGGCCCCTGGTTATTTAATGTAATTTGTAGCATCTACACGCGCATTTCTGTTGTATAATATAATATATATATACTTTTTCTCATCCAGTTCTAATATTATGCAGATTGGTTGTTGTTGCATCCTTACATGTAATGTGTTTACGCGCTAGTTGCTTTGTATTTGATTTAATGTTATTTTAATTTTGTTTTTATTACATGTATTTTTATTCTATGTGTAATTGTTTCGGTTTTTGTCACGTCGTGTGATTTTTAATGTGATTGTTGATAGCACGTGTTTACTTTTGTTGCAAACTTATATTACGTGAACTTTTGTTATGTTTATTTGTTTTATTTATCTTATTTTATTTATTATTGTTTATTGTTTATTTGTTAATTTATTTTATCTTACTTATTTCATCATCTGCATTTATTTCTGTATTACTTCTTAATTTAATATTCACTTAATATTGTATATATACTCTATCCCTGGTAATGCGTGTAGCGGGACCAGGGAATGTACAATTATTTTTTGTACCAATAAAACAAAATGAATGAAAAAAAACAAAAAAATGAATTTCGATTACGTCTCTTCCTTCTTTGACTTAGACAAATGGAAAAAGAAGAAATGATTCCACGTAACTCATTTTCCATAACTTGATTGGATTTTTTTAAATTAAACTTTTCTTTAATGTAGTCTATCGATAACATTTTATAATTCGGATGACCCGCCTATCATTTTATCTTTTTCTCTTAGTTTTTCAAAAAGTTCCCTTCTGCTAACTACCAGTACATGTCAACGCCCCGTGAAATCCCTTCGGTTTGCGATTATTTTCTATAAAATTTTACCATTGACTATTATTAATAAAATATACATAATAAATACATACCTTGGCGATTACTATCCATCTTAATATTTGACAAAAACACTCAAAAACAGCGAGCGAAACAGCTATTCAAAACAAGTCCGAAAACGACAATAACGTTATGCTTCCAAAGAGATATAAAACTGATGCTTTTCATTGTTGGTTAAAACAAAGCCACGGTGCGTATTTTAAAAATTATTGATAGCAACTGTCTGGCTGGAATGTTGTTTCTTAATTCATAAACATGTAAGAGTCATTTTCAGTTATCCATTTTTTGACTTTTGTCCTCCTAGTTCTTTACTATGACTCAATGTGCGTTGGGTGAATATGCATGTGGATGCTGGCAATGGGTACTTCCAGCATCTTCTATTTACCATGAATCAAGGAATATTTTACATTACATGCTATTCAAAATTTGAATAAAATATAGGCTAATGTAAAACATACTTTGGTCCATGACAAATAAAAATGTCTAGTAAGGATGTTAAATAACTTATGACTGCGTAGTCACATTAAATGTGGCCGGATGGCCAAGCGGTCTAAGTAGCAGCCTACTGCTCTGGGAGACCCAGGTTCGGCTCCCGTTTGGGTCGAAAAATCCCCCAAAATTTTTCGAGGTAATCCATCTGGATATGTCGGTCCCCATCCCCATAAATACGTATTCAGTCCAGGAATGTAGTAGTAAATTAAAAAATAGCAAGGAGCTACCCGGTCCGTCGAGTATTTGAATCGCCACAGTCTACAGTTTTGTATGGGCAAAGCGCAATTTTCTGACGCAATATCTGCAAAACGGCTTAAATGCGCCAAAAATGACCTTATATATTCGTAATCAGTGTAAAAAACTGTGTAAGATGTAATTTTCTGTGTTTTATCCGAGGCATATAGTTTTAAAGTTCAACCTAGATTTTCAGAAAGTATAAGGGCTTTGCTTAAAAAAGTAACAGGACTCCGTCCTGAAACGCTCTAGCACGACTACAATGCTGGTCAATTCCCAAGTAAGTAATCACCATCATTGACAATTTTCATGCTGAATATCGTAGTCAATTAACATTTTATATAAATTAAATTTTTAAAATTTTGTCTTAATAAAATTTAGAGGTGATTATTAAGTCGACTTCTGAAAATGTTATTAAATGAAACAATGGAATGGACCTCAATGTCATTATCAGCTGAATGGATGTGGCAAAAACTTATGAAGGACTTTTCTATTGAGTCATTCTAACGCGTTTTCTCTTATGGCCACTTAATTCATTTTTATTAACTTGACAGATAGACAGGATAGATGTAATTTATATGCATATAAACATAAGAATAAAATTTCTGAATTGATTATAAAATAATAAGTTATGCAATTTAGATTGTTTTCAAGTCAACTGAAAACGCATATATTTTTGCAATCTAATGAATCTGTAATTAATATAATTAATAATTAAATATTAAGTCACACGCATTTTATTTTTCCAGACAAAATTTTTTATGTTCTAATGCATTTTTTGTAAAACTCTGCCCTGTGGGCATAAGAGGACCTCTTTTAGCAAGCTCATTATGAGTTCAGCCAAACTCATAATAGGACGGCGAGTGGGGGACCGACATACCTGGATTGACCACCACCTGAAAAATTCGAGAGGCTTTTTCAACCTGTCTGGATACGATCCCGGATCCACCAGAGCAGTAGACTCCCACCTGAACCGCTCGGTCCTCTGGCCGTCTAACAGCATGTTCTTTAGGTCATAAAAATGAAGAAATTCCATATAAACATAGACTCGAAAATGTTTCCTTTCCAGCTTACAGTAGTTTGAAAATTCCTCTGTAAAGTCGTTCTTCACATGTATTGCCGTTAGCACAGTTATACATAAAATAAATGTCCGCATTTAAGTTAGAGTAATGGATCATCGTATAAATAACACTTAAAAACGTCAATACATAAATGTCAAAGCCATAGCTTGTTATTAATTTGTATAGTGTAAAACTTTTTAATTAAAGCTAATTTTAAAATTGTTATAATTTTGTAAGAAAGTATTTTTATGACCCACAGAACACACTGTTTAAGTTTCGTGAGAACTTTCGAAAACATCCTATATGTTGGAGCTTAAAACTTCACCATAATTTATGTAGACTTACTCATTATACTTACGCAGGTGTATAATTGCATACATATATTTCCCTATATGTTTCGTTATCCACTTTATAGTTTATAGAATCGCATCCCACTTTATACGTCGTTGCCCGAAATATCTGAAAATAAAAATTTTAAATATTAAAAATTTGAGTTAGTATTCTTGTTACAATAGAAAGCGTAAATTGAAACTTACATTTACCCAATTTTTTTTAGGGCTTTCAGCAGACCGAAAATTTTTAATAATTTTTCCAGATAAACTTGTTATTTCAGATGCCCATGTTTTAATTACTTCTCTAAATCTTCCAGCAGGAGTATCAATCGCATAGTCATTTGGATATGAAAGTACCTCGAAATTTTGTTCCACATGAGTACCTCCTGCAAAATATTTGATCGACTTTAGATAATAATATGAGTTATACAATATTTCATCAATTTTGTAATAAAATACGGGTACTAAATTAACATTAGCAGATCTAGCGTCACAGCAATCTACGATAAATTTCAACACTTCATGTGAGGTTCCTACTACTTGTTGTAAGTAGAATTAATTAAAAATTTTCTAAGACAGGAAATTTCGGTTGTCAAATAGGATCAAGAGATCGTGTTAGTGATGTAAAACAGAGACCGGAGGAAAAACTACATGTCTATATCAAAATAAACGTGACGAGAAGATAAACGACCTAACAGATGTCCTTTTGGTTATTAATCCTACCCCTTTTCTCGATTGTCTAAACTCGGACGCTTGTATACAAGCATCTTCACAAAGCTCTTTCTCTCTCTCGGTCGACATTCTCTTACGTCGATCATCTTCACGTCGCGTTTATTACGATATAAATATGTAGTTTTCCCTCCGGTCTCTGTTTTACATCACTAACACGATCTCTTGATCCTATTTGACAACCGAAATTTCCCGTCTTAGAAATTTTATAATTAATTTGAATTAATTCTAATTAAAACACGTATTAGAACCTCACATTCATAATTATTATCATTGTAATGTCGGTTCGAGGAGATTGCATTTTTTCGACATGGCATGAGTTAAGTGCGCCCATAAAAAAGGACCAGAGAAGCAAATATCCTCCTGAAATTTCTTTATTCTTTAAGACAAACAAATTGTAGCTTTGGCTTTATCAACATTTATTACGCAAATTTCCTTTGTTGGTATGTCTCTATTCTGATCGAGCTTTTTAATAAAGATTCTTTGCAAAAATAACAATCCCACACGTAGCTCAATTTTTTTAAAGACAAATGTTCATAACGTAAGTCTATAACCAATACATCGATGATCTGGAATTCCGGATTAATCCTTCAAAAATAAAAATTATGTTTGAAGGATCAATCTAGAATAGAGTAAAAAGTTGAAAACTTATTTTTCGACATTTCACTTTAAGAGATGGCCAGAAAATGGAGTAAATCAATGACATTTAAGTTTGTTCACATGCTTGTAATCTAAGCGTGTTTAGTCTCGAATCTGTTGGTCTTAAATAAATTTTAATTTTCTTCATTGGACAGTCACTGATGTTTCAAGTATCCTGCACACGCGATTCAGAAATGACAGAATTTTCTTTTTCAGTTTCGATGTTTTCAAAATGAAACATGGTTTAATCTCCAAGGAAATGGGATTTATCAGAAAGTATTTTCATCTCTTATCCCATTTTAAACTTGAGCTACAATCACGATAGCACATGCAGAGTTGACCAGAACTCTGCATGTGCTATCCACCTAGTTTTTGATAAACCTCGAAACTTGCATATCGTAGGTACGTCATCAATCCACATAAATATTCAAATACTGCAGTATATCTTGCATACCAAAAAATTTATTCCAAAATTTAAATTACAAATACTACATATATTTTTTTATGCAACGATATATTTCAGTATTTATTTATATTTTAACAACAGATTATCATGAGAACATGAGAAATATAAAAAAAATGTTGCTTCAAACACAATGAAGTGCCTTAATTTAACACTTCATTGTGTTTGAAGCAACAAAGTTCGAAGCACGGTTTCAGATTATTAAAAAAATCAAAAAATATGTTTTTTATATGGTAAAAAAAAATATAAAAAACACATTCTACATAGATATTTGAATATTTTTATGATGAAAAAATTTTTGAAGTAAAAGCGCTTATGCATGTAAATCACTGTAATAGTAATTAATTAATAATTAACTCTTACTATTTCTCGCTGCTTGCCATTTTACAGCATTCTCTTGCTGATTTACAGTAATTTTACCCCATTGTGCAATTACTGAAAGTTTTCCTTTTCCCCCCTAAAAAGCCAAAGTTGCTGACTGGCCTTATATATATATATATACAGTAGACCCCTATAAAACGGGTTCCTATAATTACGATTCCTATAAAACTGCGAAGAAATTGCGACGGTATCCGTAAAAAACGGTAAAAAACTCCTATAATTACGTAAAACGTNCACAAATAAATAAAATGTAACTATTTGCATGTGTAATTTTAATAATAAATAATAAGTTATTTTCTGCATGATGTTATAACTTATATTTTTAGAATAACTTTAGATCAAGAGGAAATTGGAGTGATGTAAATTAGAAAAGTAATATCTAGATCAGAATTATTGTTATCTTTCATCACCACAGTGATTTGATGAGAGTTATATGAAGTGATGTGATTTGTTAACTAGTTGATATTATAAGATTGTTAAAATAAATGATAGTATAGTTTAGATATAAAATTACAAATACATTAATTTGTATTTTATTGTAATTTGTTTATTGTTTATTATTAATTTTAATGAATATGTGAAATATAATAAAAGTTAAATTGATATTTGATTTTTATTATACTTTACACATTTATTAAAGCAAATTATGATAATATATTTTGATTGTACAGACATGTTATTGTTATATAATATAGTACAAATGTAATTTAACAATATATTAATAATAATTGCTATGTATATATAAATGAATACATTTATATATACATAGCAGATAAAATAAAAGTTGCAAGCAAGATATGATTAATTATTTGTTTTAAACCAGGGGTTTCAAATCTGGTAACTAGTGTCCTCAAGCAGTCAATCAATCCACTGACTCCTTGGAACGCTAACACTGATACTAATAACCAGATTTAAATTACTAGGGAATGTTTAGGATCAGTAAACAAAAATGTTTTTTGTTTTTTATATATATATATATTTAAAAACATGATGAAAATATGTTATAATAATTTATAAATCTTTAAATTTTAATAAATAAAACACACTATTCTGAACATTTTGATTTTATCTTTAACAAAACAAAATTTTATAAATTTTTATTTAATTATTTAATTCATTCTATTTGTGATTTATTCTTAGTTTGCATTAGTATAGTAAGGGGTTGGTAAATTAAATCTAATTTTGTAAAAGGGTTGATGAATGAAAAATTATGGTAATTTATTGGAAAATTAGTTGTCATTTTACATTTGTTTGATCATTTCATAATTGAATGTTAATATATATTGTATTGACAACATACAACAATTTGCATTTATGCACATTCTTATAGGCAAATTTAATGTGTGGTTTATTAATGTAAGTAAATATGACATAATGAAGTACAGTAGAACGTCGTTTATCCGAATCAATTGGGGACTGGGGTTGTTCGGATAAGTTATTTTTCAGATAACCGATTATGTACAAAAAAATACATTAACCTATCCAGTGTTGAAATTTTTCTCCGTTGCGTGTCGCTTCGCGTTGAATTTTCGTCGATGTTAAGCCTAACGTAAACTTTTTAAAATAATAATCGTGGCTATTGTATCGTTAAAAATTATTTCTTTATTTTTTACAAACAAAATAAATATATTGAAAAATATAAAAACAAAAAAAAATTTATACTTTAGAAGTGATCTAGTATCAAAAACGTTCGATTCAGCATGACACACAGTCCTCAGAAAAACACCACACAAAAGTGACAGTGCTGCCAGCTAAAACATACACAAACATAAAAAATATTGGAGTAGCCCAAGATATAGCCAAAGATTGCAATGCCACAGCACTAGCGAAAATTTAAATTTGCCGACTGGAATTCTTTCGGATAAATGACTCTACTGTATGTTATTTTTATTGATGACATATAATTAAATTTTTAAAAAATTTTAAATACTTTTAAATAAGTATTCTATTCTATAAATATGTTTATTTGAAAAATCTATTCTATAAATATTCTATAGAAATATTCTTTTCTGTTTGAATATATGTTTTTCTCAAATATATAAAAATAATAAGTGAAGATGTAACATTTCTTACAACATACTTTTATTTTAGTAAAAGTGATTTAGAAGATGATGATAACAGATGTAGAAAAAGACCTGCAAATGAAATAAATTCAGAAACTTTCAGTCAACAAAAAAGCATGTAAGTTTTTTATATTATACATATTAAATATTTCTTTGTAGTATAGTATCTTATTGTTAAACATCTCAATATAAAATAAACCAACTATATTTATTTTTACTATCATTACTTCTCTTAGATTATATACAAAACATCCTGGAAAATTATTTGTTGAATAAGTTTTTAGTTACAGAAACATTAATATTTAAGACAGAAAAAGTTTTAGTATTAAGTTTCTCTTATAGAATTATAAGGTTATCTGAAAATGTCACAATACAGATTTAAGTACTTAAGCATTGGAATAGATTGATGATTTTTTTATTATTATAAAATATTTATTTTACTAAGATTTTAGTTACGAATAAAAATCTTTTTCACTTATTAACATTTAGATACTAGTTCCTAATCTCTAAACAGCAATTTCATCAAATAAGTTCATCTTTATTCCAATAAAAAATGAAATTAATTACAAGATCAACTTCAGTTTCTTGCTTTTATAATTTTACATTAATATAAATTCAAACAGAAGTTTTAAATAATTTAAAGAGCAGATAAAATTCAATAAGCAAAATTAATAACTTAAATTTAACAAAAGTTACTATTAATGTTAACAAAAATACTAAAAAATTTTATTGTAACATTAATTGTTACAAGTATTTTTCTGTTTGAGCAAATATTCCATTTGATGACAAATATTCTAATTTATAATAGATGTTGAGAAAGTATTAACAATATATAATCCAGTAGTAATATTTAGAAGGATTTATTATTATTACTTTTTACAAAAAATATTTACCAGATTTAAATAAAATATTGACATATTTTGACCAAACATTGTGTTATAAATATGTTAATGGACTGTTGTTAGGTCTTTTGTTTGCTTGTGAATGAGAATTGGCGATGTTAATAGAAATAATACATTCAGTATGTAAATATTCTGAATTACTGACTTATTATTTTATAGATTGTAAAAGTCTAATAAATTTTTTAGACTTTTACAATCTATAAAACCTG